TGATTAAATAAGTATAATGCAATGAAAAGAAATGTGATATTTTGAAAATATTTAAATCGCTGCACAAAAATATTATATAGTTATATTGCATATCGTGTGCAATAAGTATTTCTATAAATTTATATGGCACTAAAAAAATTTATTGGAGAGCATAAGTTTAGTTTCTTAAAAATATAGATTATTCTAAGCATATAAATTATTTAATGTGAAAATAAGTTTGATGATTAAAATTTTTTTTAAATAAGTAATTCTTTAGGAAATTTATTAAAATAATATATTTTTATCTATGTATATATGTGTATCATATATGAAGATATATTACAATACAATAGGGTATTTGTATATTTCTTTTTTTCAGCAACTAAAATCGGTAGTAGTTAATGTTTAAAATAACGTATAATTCTAAATGTACACAAGGTCGCTTGTTATTGATCATACTATTTATAAATACCCTATTATGTTAGTAAAGTAGTATATAAAATAATTACATTTTGTACATACAATATATATCTATATATTTAAAGCATTATATTTTAATTTGTATGATATAAAAGATATACTTTTATCTGAATATATCCTTATTATAATATTAATTAGAAATATAAACTCTTTTCGAGATAAGTTTTAAATTACTTGTACTTGTTTTTTAAAAAAGAAAGAGAATTTTAATTTTGCGCATATCATAATTTACAAGAAGAAAGTATCTTATTTTTATATTTCTTTTATGTCATATCAAATGTGAACTACAATACGTGGATGTACATCTTATTTTTTTAATTGTAATACTTTTATTCAATTACTATAATATAGCTATATCAAACAATTGTATCTTTCCAATTTAGGAAAAAATATTTTCTAATAATTCTGATTAAAAATCTTCACGATTAAAATTATATTTAACGTGCAAAGATATTCGTAATATAAAAATAAGTAACACGAATTATATAATTTGTACAATAAAGCATTAATTCTGAAAAAAGATTCTTTTATTAATTTTAATAATAAAAGGCTATGGAGATAAAAGAAAAAAAATACAATTACTTTTATTTTAATGTGAATTTATTTTTAATATCATATACTGATCTCGGAAGGTGGGTACATGGGTCTGTTATCTTATTTTTCTGCGGCAGGGCACATAACGGGAGGCAGCGTCTAAACATCAAATCCGTTTATTTGTTCGACTCATTATCTCTACTTTATTATGTCTACGCTTTTCATGCCTCATCTGGTCATACATCGATTGACTGGAGCATGAGGCATTTTTGTTTTTAAAATCGATTTGCTGCAATATTCTATACGTTTCTTATAATTGATCTTTTACGGTATTTCTTTTCGATCACGGAGAATGGTATGAATGGTTTCAATAACGGTATGAATGTAAACGTATATAGCTATAGAAAAAAGTAGTTTTGATTTTATGATACGTCATTCTTCGTTATTAGTGCAAAAGTACACGCCGAGTATAGGAAATACCGTGATGAACGTTGCATGAAATTTAAATTTAATGTAAGATATTTTTAGCACGATCGAAATTGATATAAGACGAGTAAAACTTGCATTATTTCTCTTTACAAAGGGCACACTTTTCGTTTTTATTTTATTTTAATTGCTCTTTTATACGTATATATATATATATATTTATTTGATATTAGGGTAATTTAAATTCTATTCAGCCAACGTTAATACAAGGATAAACATTATCTTCCCTTTTTATTAATGAAGTATTGTCTAAAAGCATGGCAGAAACACACTTGCCTCCCTTTTTACTAATGCTCCAGTCAGTTTAATTATACATATTCTCTCTGTTCAAATATTATTCACGCATTGGATTATCACCCAATAAAGTTCTAAAAAGGATCTTCATATACCATGAGCGTCTATATGCATTTTTATCAATAATTGTATCCTTATTTAATGCTCAGTACAGTACATGTGTGTATGTACAACATCGAGCAGTCGACTAAGCATGCAAAGTTAAATAATCCTACAATCGCTACGATCAGTATTACTATATATCAATTCGTAAAATAATATCATACCCGATTGTATCCATTTATTACAGAAAATGTTCCAAGCGATTATAATCTGACTAAATGGTCGTTATACAGCGTGCATAATCCATTGGAATATCTCAAACACTTTTCTAAACTTATCGCAGTTTTTTTTTTTCTTTTTTTTTTAATGCAGACACTTCGGTCTAAAAATGTGTAAAATCCCCAATTACATTTCAATATTTACAATATCTCATAGATGCGTGTTACACACGCCACAATTTACATAATATAACTTGGTGTTCATTTGAAAGTTTATTTCTTTTTTTTTTTCTTTTTTTTCCTTATTCTGTCAAACATTAGATTTTCATTCCTTTCATTCCGACGTTTCTATCCGTTGATTCACGTTTTTTTATAGTGTTATTATAAAACATTGTGTTTTCCATTTACATACGTTCCCTTGGTATTGATATTGTTCGGTCCTCTTCAGTGCGTTAGTTCTTACGTTTCGTTTGCTACTCTTTTTTTTTTTTTTTTTTTTTTCTATCTCTGCGATTGAGAGATCATATTCCGACAGTAGATTGAAAGAAATATATGTATAACGGTGAGAATTCTTGAAGACTCAGTTCAGACGAATTTTAAGAACGAAATTAGATTTCTCATGTATCGAGGTTTCTTCACTTTTATGTATAATTAATGCGCACAAATTTCAATCATTCAGTCATATCTCTCTAGACGGCGCATAATTAAACCTACCGACTGGAACATAAATCTGTAAAAGTTTCAAATTTGGGTCCCTGTATAAACAAGCCTCTCTGGCTTTGCCTAAACTTCCCATTTTATCTTTCTTGTTTCGCACTCGTAGAAGTGGTTTTCTTATCATTGAGAAAAAAGACGATGCGCAACGGGCTTTCAAGTTTTAATATATGTACGAATACATTACTTGTTCAAACCTTGGAGGAAAACGGGGGGGGGGGGCGGGGGAGGAGGAGGACTCTCGTACATCAAGCTATACACATTTTTTTACTGTTAATGTTTGTTAATTTCATCCTAACTATCCTAGCGCCAAGCAACGAATCACACCTACGTGAATTGTCATTCAATTTATTCTATGTATATCTCTATATATATTTATATGTATATTTCGGTATGTATAATCGTAATGTGCGGCTACGCGATGAAATCGC